ACAATTTAATCTGGGAATATAAACTAACACTTTATTAGTTATCTGCAGGTGTTTCATGTCTCCCTGTGCTAGGTGCTTTACAAAAGAAGGAGAGAAAAGCATACAAGCCAAGCGAAATACTACAGACAAGAGAGAAATTTTATCTTTTTAAACATAATATCAGAGTCATGACTTGAGATTTGGTAGCATTCAAAATTCTTTGCCCTTACAACTACTTTGTTACATGAAGTTGGGGGCTTTGCAGGAAGTAATGCATTTTTGACATTACAATTTTTTTTCTATAGTGACAGATAACACATCTGCTATTTTAAATATTTAAATTATCCAGATCAAATATTAGCCAGGTAGTTCAGCACCAGGCACTTTAAAATATGAGGTTCTATGGGTTAAAACTTGTGTTTTCCCTTGGCATCAAAGATTGAAGAAACAGTTTTTACCTTACCATCATCACTGAATGCCCTAACAGCCTTTTCTATCATTCTTCAGAGCATGTGTTATACTGCTTAATCATCAACCAAAACTCCATAGCTAGCTTTATTTGAATGATGCTGGTGTGCATGCTGGTTTAATGCAACCTTTAGCTATCCTGAGGCAAAGGACAGTTTGAAAATGAAAGAGGTCACCTCTTTAGGAATACTGTAGCCATCAACAGAAAAGGAAAATACTTTATACAAAACCCGAAAATTTATGGATTTCTTTAAATCTAAAAAGTTACATATTTCACTTACTGCTGTTGCTTAATAAAAATAAAAAGAAATTCTTGTACAAAAGACTTGGCCATTAATGAGACAGCTGAACAGAAAGAGTTGTGTGCCTATGAATTATAGTTTCAGACTGCTTATACTCTGCCTTAAAGCTGTGTATTCTTTCTCTGTACTTGTGCAATGCATTTATATTGGAAGGCCCTCTTGAAACTGGGTGATCTATTGGTTTAGGGAGCTAAAGATTAATTCCAGATGGGTCATGCTTTTCTAGCCCTTCAAAAAGTAACTACTGCACCATCTGTTTCGTAACAGACAATTTCAAAGAGTGCCAAGGGGAATGTTAAAGACGTTGGTCAAATGGCCACATATACCCCACACAACGGAATCCTAGAGGTCATAGTGCCTCAGACAGATTCATATTTTCACTTTTTTCCTCTCCATTGTTCCACCATGGAAACTCAAGGAACAGCTCTCCTTCCTCCCAAAATAGGAAGGAGATGTTTTCCAGATTATTACCAGCGTTGACAAGTATGAGGCCAAATTCAGACCTGAATTCAGTGGAATGACTGGAATTCACTCTTATACCTGCCCCACTTTTGGATCCTTGTAGATTATTCCACACCGCTTTTTTGTTTTCTTTTAAATTAACTCAGTAGCAGGAGGTTAATGCTAAACTGACTTGAGATCTGGCTGGTTGCCCAAGACAAATGAAGGGTGGAACAGGTAATGAAGGGTTATTCTAGATCATGATCATTTTTATTTTTCCTGGTTATTTCAGGAAGCATGAAGTAAAGGAGTTGTGTCTGTTCTTCTAAATACAGTGCTATGCATCAGTATCTACATCTCAGGTGTATACCAAAGACACACTCAGGTCTAGCACCAACATAACTTAAATTCTTCACAACCATAAAACTGGAGTAAAAGAAGTTCTCTGAAGACTTCCTGAGTACAAATCTCAACTTCAGAGCAGTAATTCACAATTTATACCAAACAGTCCTGAGAAAAGGTCTAAACTGAAAACAAAAGGAAACAGAAAATCTACTGGAGGTTAGACAATCACAATCTTGTGCAGTCCCAGACAGTCATTTTTGCTGCAGTGACGTTAAGTAAATAATTGGTAAAAAGAAATAAAGATTAACAGTATGTCGCCACTTCATTCCTCTTTGTTTTTTCCAGTGCATCCAATCATGTTTCATACCAATTCTTGTAATAAGTTATTACAAAAATAGCTTAGGACTACCAGACTAGTGTACCTACTTAAGTTTCGTTCACTTTGCTGTGGTTCTCTCCATTCAACAGCATATTGCAGAAACAGTGCCTTAGACTGTAAGCTTAGTGTCTGGGTATACTCCAGCTAGATTTCCAAGTTCAAAGTTTGCTGCTGGTAAGAAATAGAGTAACAGGAATAACAGCTCCTCACCATTTGCCTCTCCTTAGTATTATTAAAATTGAATTTCTCTTAAGCCACTGTCTGTTTGGGTGGTGTAAGGGAATTCCATAAGATTTGCACTTTTTCAGTATTAAACATTACATGAAAACAAAGAAAGGTTGGAAAGCAGAATAGGAAATGTCTGCTTTGGAGGGCTTCATCACAGCTTTTAAAATTAAAGACATCCAAAAGAAATATGTTCTGAGGCTAATACACATATTGGTGTGGAAGCATGCATATACACCCGTTAGAGAAAGCAAAAGCCTCGTGGCTTAGGACAAGATTTAATTCAAAATACTAGACTCAATAAATAATGCTTAGAACTAGACATTATACATTGCAGCTAATCACAATTACACTCCAAACCAAAAGCTGCAAGAAGAAAATGGTGCCTGAAAGAAGGCTCCAAAACAGAAAACATTTAAAAGAATATCATGTGGAGCTAGCCTAGAGAAATCATAGAGATGGTTTTGAAATCTCCGTCTCTACTGAGCTAATATTTCTCCTCCAGAGCTACAGAAACATCTCTCATTTCATCTTATGTAGGTATCGGTACTCCCCAAAACCCCCACAAAACAAGCCAAACAAACAAACAAAAAAGCAATCTGAATAAAACGCACTCTTGCAGACGAAGCAGTGTAGTAGTCACACCTCTTGCGGAGGCTGGTGTTCCTGGAAGAAAAGACCTCCAGAATGCACAGGTATTCAGGAACAGTTTTGTTTTAGACATTCATATTACACCTCATCTTAATTCCTGCTTTTCTTTAAGAACTTCTAACCTCTTTTTATCCATTCTAGAACATTGTTAATAGATTATCAGAGTCACAAATCCTACTCTATTCCTGTGCTTTCTGGACACAAATTCTGCCTTTAAATCATGCAACACAGGGCTGAAGACTGACTCATTCTTTGAAAAATACTCAAGAATTAGCTTAGGTGAGTCATTAGTTGGAGTGCAAATAAAGAAAATCCAGTAATTCACTGCCAGTAATTTTTCTCTCCTTATTCCATACTGGGACTAACTCTAAATTCAACCCTAAATGTATGGATAAATCTTTCAAAGCTCACTGTTACCTGGGCTGAGAGGCTAACTTGCTCCAGCTGAGCCCAGCACTCACCCACTTCACTCTAAGGACACACACCTGTGGCACATCTTTTGCATGGGAAAAACATGCCAGCCACTTGCTAGCTACTGCCTAGGTCATATCCACTTTGTCAACGTGATCTATTCGTTTAAGACTTATAAATCCAAAATTACACAGCCCAGAGAAAAAAGAAAGCAATTATTTTATTCATTTGACACATGCTGTCTTGAGGAGAGTTCAATTTGTAACAGTAGTTAATCATTCACAAATAGAATATGGTTTTAAAAAATAACTTTATTTGTTCCTCTCAGCAGAAGATTAAGACACGGTGTACTGGATAACTGGTATAAAATACATGCTCCATGGAAATAATTGTATTTCTATTGCACATTTTTTTGAAAACTCTATCACTTGAACTTTCATTGTCTTTATACCTCAGACACAGGAATTACTATACAGAAAGGTCTGTTTCCTTTCTCAGTCATCTTTTGAAATGACTGGATAGTAGTCCTTTACTTGAGGGCTTTTTTTCTTTTTTTTTTTTTTCTTTTGCTGATAGTGTTACATCCAGCTAGGACAGATGTTTTCCACCTGACCACCTGCCTGAATCGGTTACCCACCACAAACTCCGTGTCACTGATAACGAATGCAGCGTTCCCCCTGGTTCGCTTGACAGAAGGAGCTCCGCCTTTACTGTTGTGAGGTTACAAGTGTTACCAGGCAAACAACACAGAAATAACCCTGGCCATGCACGCGGACACGGTTTCGGGGCACAGCTGTGCCCTGTGGAACAATTGCTGCAGGTCTCTCGGTAGCACCTACTACATGCCCCGTGCTGCCTTCCCCTCCTCCCTGGTGCCGAACTGCTGGAGGGTAGCCAGCGGTCCTCCACCATGCTATCTTTCCATGCAGGCGATTGCTGAAGGCGTACAGTCGTCCACCATGGCAATCTCGCCACTGAAACAGCACCTACCCCAGAAATCCTCTATCAGCATTTTGTTGGATCTTTGGCTTTTACACATTACGTATACCTGTTATGTGTATGTGCAGTGGGTGTATAATGTGTGCAAGGCAGCAGACACGTAATGTTTGCAATCATTTGCAATCCCCATGCACTCTGGGGACTGAGCCCATGGGAAAATCTGGCCTTTAAGGTGCTGTCCCCACAACTACCCCCTGCATTTTGGGGGCACAGCCACGGCCTCTCACCCCCTGCTTCCCCCCCCGCCCCGAGGGCCGTCTCCCACCTCCGTTATCCACCCGTGCGGGGGAAGGGCCCCGGCGGGGGG